TGCGGATAGTCGTTCTCTAACAGAAGTAATCGCTTTACACCGCCTCTGATAGCTTGGTCACGTATTGCGTATACCTACCTGCCCATAGACTAACTTTCCGTGCTCTCTTCGCACGTGCTGAGCAAGGCTGGAAGAAGCGGCGCGGTGGTTAGGCCATGACCTGGGCTAGAGGCATGAAGAAGTTGGCTTCAGCTTTGGCTTTAATTGGTGCAGCCCGCCCTCCAGGTTGCTAGAGGCATGAAGAAGCTGGCTTCAGCTTTGGCTTCGGTTGATGCAGCCCGCCTTCCAGTTGGGGCCCAAGGGATGAGGATTGTCTATGGTTAGAGACGCTGAGAGATATGGCGCAGAATAGAAGTCAGTGGCGCGAATGCTGTACGGTCTGCCTGTCGAAATCCCGTGCCCCGTGAAAAAAAACAAAAATATCAAAAGGAGTCCGGTGAAACACACAAAGAGTTTTTGTTATTCCGGATATTTTCCATTTTTCCATATTTAACTGTTTCACCCCCTTTCACCGCGTTCCGTACTCCAATCCACCTGTCCCCTTTCATTGTTGCTGCGTTGGCACCATGCTTGTTTACAAGCTGATGATAAATATATATAAATACTGAGGCTAACTTCTTCAGACCTCTACACCAGGTCATGGTCTGAAGGTCGCAGCGCTATTTTCCAGTCTTGCCCAGCAAATGCAAACAGACCACGAAAATGTATGTAACGGCCAGACATATGCCACTGGAATCAGTGTAGATCGATTATTCCTGTTACAGAACGTCTATCAGCACCCAGTACACGACAGCGAATTTCGTCAATGCTCGCCTGGTGTTCCCACTAGACACCAGCTTCAAAGCATCACCATCATCATCATTGTACAGCGTAATACAGTGAAGCGAACGTCACTGATCGTTTCCAAACTCATATTGCATACAAGGTAAGTGATAATGTGTAAGGAAGACACGGATTGGACTTTCTTTTAGGGACGGGAAAAGAAAGCGAACCTCTATGGTCAACACAGAATATACATTTCAACTGTGCACACACACTAGTTCAAGCATTATGGTCTGATAAGAAGTGACAGCATGATCACCATTCCTGGCTGTTCGCAGCCATGGCCTTCAGTGTCTCCAACCATGCGGTTTCGGAGTCTTTTGGACCCCAACCCGGAAGACGAGAGACACCTACTCTACCTCTGTGCATTTCTTCATGCCTCGTCTCCACGTCATCTGCTGGCCTCCACGTGGCTTTCTCCAGCCTGTAACAGCCACTGCAAACAA